AGTGCCTCATGAAGCCACATAAACCTAAATGGAAGACACTCACGGGTATGGAGCGCAGACAGGCTGCGGTATACGATACGAAAAGGCACAGATATGTACACATGTGCGCACTCAAACACACACACACACACACAGGCAGACAAAAACACACAAAGTGGCAGGATGACAGTGGCTGTGGCGCATATGCAACAGGAAAATCCCTTAATTGGAATAAATTAACTATTATGTGTGTTGTACGCAATGAAATTGCTGTTGTTGCTGTTTTTTTTGCTTTGTTGTTTTGTTATGCTGCATGCTACAAGCTTTTGTTGTCACTGTTGCTGGGCGCTTTATTGCTGCCAGCAAACATACTTATAATTGTTGCTGTTTTGTTAATGGTATTCGTATTATGTGAATGGTTTGTACACATGCGCATGTTTACATATGTAGGTATGTGTATTAGGGTGCTCCTAAAAAAGAAACACGAGAAAATAAACTTTTTGAAATTTTCTGAAGAATATCAAAGAAAGGAGAATAATTAACTGTGCCGCCTGGGCTTTGAAGTTTTCCAATATATATAGTATGTACATATGTAGGTATGTAGATATGTACATGGAAAAATATATTTTTTTGTATAGCTGCTATAACATCGTTGAAAATAAATATGTTTAGTAGAAAAATTCTTTCTCGATCAAAAAATTTTTATTTTTGAATAGAAAAAGTTTCGAAAGTTTTTTCCTATATATTTCTTACATTATGCTCGTAAATCTAAAATTTTCCCTTTTTGTAAAAAAATAATCTTTGTACATACATATCTTCTAAACGTATAATTTTAATGAAAAATTAATCATTAACAAAATATAGCAAATTCGAACGCTTTTATTTTATGTACAACCTAGAAATGGACGCGGAATATTGGGATCCGCGGGACCCACGGTACTGATTTCAAAATGGCCGGGATGGGCGTTATCGTGAAGGTTTTAAAAAGATAAGCGAGCGGCACGGGACGAAAATTCTCTCCCGACCCTCCTAATTAAATCCACGACTTCCGAAAAGAAAACAGAACAATCAGAAGATGCAGATCTTTCAGTTTGACGCAGATACGTCATTTTCACTGCAAGTTTTCTTTTGGTAATGAGTGAATATATTGCGAAATTGCTTTGCAAAAAAAAAATGCTCCGACGAATTGAAAATCTCTTCCTTTTTTTGAAGTCGGTCGAAAATATATTTTCTTAGCAGATTTCAGTCGGATCTCCTGAAAACTACCGGACCAGATTGCCTTCCAACAGACAGACAGGCGGAGATGACTAAATCGGCTCAGCTAGACATTCTGATCATATAAGTATACATTTGCATGGGTCTAGCTCTTCTTCTTCTGGTACTTACAAACATCGGACCAAGCTTATAATACCATTTCATGTTCAAGAAAGGTATAAAAATACACGGCCCCTTACTGTCGATATTCTGGCTGGAAAAAAACAACTTCGGACCACCCTCATATTTATATTTATATGCACACACTTACATCTTGGTGTTCGTTTGTTGACACATGCAACTAAAATTGTTTACTGCTGCCTTTGTAACTTTTTGAGATTTCTTCAGTGACTTTTTTGCGCAAGGATATTTACACTGAAAGAAATGCATTAATAGTTGCAATACAAAGAGTAAATAGATCTCGTAAGAAAGCAAGAAAGCTTCAACTTAGTCTCACGATTGGAAAATGAAGATGAATTAATTGCTGAGGAAAATTGGGGTTTATGTCCCCAAAGTTATCGATGGAGTCAAAGGATTATCGTTAACCTTGGCTTTAGGCAAACTAAACACTAGGGTGATTCAGAAAAAAACACATTTTTTTTTTCTCGGAACCATGCTCAAAAGTTTCGTTTAGACGCCAAAATAAGTCTAAGATAATAAGTCTTAATATTAATATTAGCATTTTCGCGTCGCACTTTTCGATTTCCTATAAGAATAACACAGGAAAAATTAGTATTTTTTTTTTGCTTCTGATTTTTTTATTTTACGAACGAGGCGTTGTAAGGGCTGGTTTCTCCAACTCAACTGTACTTAGTTTAACCATTTTTTGGACTTAAGTCGAAAGTTAGCCTACTTTTTAATCAGCTCATTCTTAACTAAGTCCAAAAAATTGGCTAAACTAAGTTAAGTTGAGTTGGAAAAACCAGTCCAACAGGTCTTGGAGTTCGTAAAATATAAAAATCAGAAGTAAAAAAAAAAATACAATTTTTCTCTGTTATGCCGACATTCATAATATTAAAACTAACGGCACAAATTTTCTGAGACTTGAAAAAAATCCAGACCTCGGAGAGACAAAAGAAAAGTGTAGTTTTATGATATTTGACCACGAGTATGTATATTGATTTTTTGTGTATAAAATTTACTGTTGAACTTCAAAAATTGTTGGATATGAGAAGGTGTAATCTCTCATTGACAGAAAATCTTCCATGTTGTTAATCTGCATTTGTTACCATGAATATTGGTACATATACACTGCTGGGAAAAAGTATTGGCACAACAAATTTTTCACAATATATGCAACAATTTTTTTTTCTAATATTTATCCGCTATTTTTTTGTAAAAATGTGGTTCATTCTACAACAAAACACATAAAAATATAATTCCTAAACTTTGTGCAAAACTCGCGAAAATTCAGCAAATTTTCATGCAAATTTTAAACTTTTTAATCAGATTTTTTAGATTTTTTTTGCAGTTTCGCGGCCCTTAAAATTCTCGTAAAAAAATGCCAGTTCGGAGTTAGTCAAAAATCGCATTGATTTTTTATTTCTTTTTTTTTTGTTGAAGGTGTTTTGCATTTTTTCCATATAAACTATTTTCAAAACCATTTTTTTGTGAGAAAAAAATTGTCGAAAATCAACGATAATTCCTAGCTACTTGTACTCTATTTATTATGTACTTTATTATAATAAAATTGATTGTGCTACAAATCCGCATACTCAAAAAATTCTAAAAAATCTGATTAAAGAGTTGAAAATTTGCTGAATTTTCGTGAGTTTTGCACAAAGTTTAGTAATTATATTTTTATGTTTTTTGTTGTAGAATGAACCATATTTTTATAAAAAATTGGCTGAAGAATATTAGAAAAAAAATTGTTGCAAATATTGTGAAAAATTTGCTGTGCCAATACTTTTTGCCGGCAGCGTATGTAATTACAAGATATTTTCTCAGTGTACGCTGTTTGTAATTAAAGTATGTCTATGCATTTACATACTTCATAACAAACAAGAACACATGGTTTCGCAAATCAAGCAAAAATCCCTTTCAAAATTTTACCATATGGATTCGCAGTTTCATTAGACACAAATTCCTGAAAAGAACACAGCTCAGATAGCACTGAGCGCCACACGTAGGTATTTAGATACATATGTATGTAAAGAAAACTTGCTCCAACATACAGACATACATACATATGTACGCCAATTCGCGTGTGCTTCGTCGCCTGGCACTCTGGGTATTTAATGTTTTTTTGTTCTTTTTTTTTTAAGTATGAAAATGAAAATGAATGCAGTCAACAAGCAAACAAAGTCTTTGCAAAGTCGACACAAAATTCAAAATCCATACAAGAAACCAACCGACTGGCATATGGAAAGCAACTGTGGCAATGTAGAATAGTACGGGTATGTAGTTAGTGGCATTCGTAACACCATACACATCATATTTCTCACACCCTGGCGAATTGACATCGCACCATCGAGCGATGAGGCTCTGCGCGCTGCACCCATGGGAGCTAAATGAGATCCACGAATGAGCGTGTAAGTAGGCGATTTTGCATGCAACGAACTGTGGGAGTTGTGTGAGACTCGTAAGCAAGAAATTATAAAAGTATTAACACAACATTGGAACACATGCTGGCAGAATGGAATGGTTTCTGAGGTAATTAAAAGTGTTACGGAATGGTCTTCTTAGTTCCTATACTAAAGATGTGAATGGTACACTGTAGAAAAAAAAACTCGTACGCATTGATTTACTTTTCAGACGACCTAAAAGGGTATTTTTTCGAATGGGTCTGAATTTTTATCTTTCGAAAATATTTATCATAAGTGCAGTTAAAAACCATATAGTACAAAAGTATTAAGAAACGTAACATTTTAAGAGAAGTACATTCCGAATGGAGCAAGCCAAAAAAACAAATATTAGTCTAATTTTATTAATCAACCATTTCCATTTTTGAATTGACAAGCAGTTTTATAACCAACCACTTGTACCTACTCGTAAGTAAAATGTTTTTTTTTTGCTGTTAGTTATTCATTACCTCGTCAGTAAGAATATAAAATAAATATGATATCTAGTCCTTTTTAAAATAAATATGTACATTAGGGCGGGTCAATTATTATGGAAGGTTTTTTCGCCTATGAGCATATAGCACAGAAAGACTCTACGTGTAATTCTAAGCAAATTGTCCGAAGAAACTACGGGTCTAAATCAATGTGGAGCTTTCCAAATCGCGAAAATAGGTTTAGAAGAAAAATAATACTCCTACATATGACCCGCCCTAATGTCCATATTAAAACACCAACGAGCGATGTTAAACAACTGTCGCTGGCAAAACTGTTTGCCCATAAAATTCAGCTAATTAAAATGGGAAAAATACCGAGGAATACTTAGTCAACTAAACATTCATTTACACTCATACATATACATATACATATGTATGTGCATTAGGGTGGTGCTTAAATATCATGGAGCGCCTCTTTATTTTATTCGAAGTAGAAAATAAAGACATCGGCGAAAATTAATAAGTAAAAGAATGTTAAATTTATCAGAATTCAAGTCAAAATTTGGTCACATTTTTGAGATTTAAAAATATTTTAATTTTTTTCAAACCGTGGTAGCGACCCCCAAAAAATCTGAAATTTTTGTGTATGTGTTTATGTTATAAGTAGAACAAAAAGGGGTGCCAAATAAAAATTTAGATGCTGATATTTTTAAGGACCACCCTAATGTGCATACATTATGTAAATTAAGGATTAAGTGAAACAGCAACTTACCTTTTTATAGCGAAGCTATGGTATTTGTGCCGAAAGGTCAGAAACTGAAGTGAACTGAAATATAAGGCAAGAGAAAAAATGTATTTATTTAGAGTTTTCGAATATGTAAATAACAGATTTGCTTGTATAAACGTTCGAACATGCACATCTGTAGGCATTAGACATAACAACTTAACTCGGCTATAATTTAAGTAAAGTACGAGTACCAAATCTTTCAGTTTCCATGCGATATTTTTAATATTTAAACAATCACAGAAATGGTGAAGTGAAAATGAAAAATTCAAATTTTGTGAAAATTTTAATTTTCCCCTACATCATTTGATTTTATCAAATCACAAAAAAAAAAATTCTCCTGACTGCAAAAATGGTTTAGCCCACTTCAAACTTATATTAATTCTTCCTCATATTGGTAAAATTTTGCTGTAAAATTTTGAAGAAAAAAAAATTGGCTTTTTCGAGAAAAAAAATTATTATTTTTTGGCCGCCATGTTGTTAAGTTTAAAGGTTTTTGCAAATTTTAAACGAATTTTCAATGATTGTAAGTCTTCTGAAGAGAACCAGAGTCTTCCGATCGAAAAATATTGATTTTCAAGAATTCTATACCATTTCTACGAAAATTAGTTTTTTTCCCCATATAAAGAACATGGAAAACTTTGAGCGACCTCTAAATATTTTTTGATTTCAAAATAAAAAATAGGGGCTCAGTATTTTCGGTATAGCACAATCCTAGGGGGTTAGAGCATAAAAATTCCGACTTTACTTTTTCACGTGCCTTTTTGGACCACCCTAATATACATACATACATGACTCATGCGTGCTTACGTAAGGCTATTTGTACATAATAAGATAACATTAAAGATATCTTAGTATCTATGTACATATCGACGACTGAGTGTGAGATCGACATAAGTATCTCGGCAGCCGGTTCGAAAACGGCCTATCTCAGAAAGTTTTTCAAGAACGCCCTATGTCAGAATTTTAATGTAGAACGCCCTAATTCAGAAGTCGGTTCAAAAACGCCATATATGAACATATTTTCTTTAGGTTTTTAGATTCTTTAACATTTAACTGTGATTTTATTCCTTTAGATATGCTATTGCATTGGCTATGGATAGCAATCGAACAAAGTTTCACCCGAAAACAAATTCGCCCGAATTTTTTTCATTCGCGCGAATACACGGCAACGTAAAGTGAACGATTAGGGGCGAAAGTGCAACTCTTGATAAGGCTATATATGTTTTTAAGTAAATATATACACATGTATGTATGAAGTCAAAAACCTCGCAATTTTTTTCGTTGCTTTAATTTTTATATAAAAAGTACATTAAAGTAAGCAATGGCCAATTCAAAAAGTTAATAATTGCTGTATATTTTAACATGCCCAACCAGCTAGTTATTTATCTGTAATGCGACATTATTATTGCTTATTTTTTTCCACCCGCATGGCAACACATTAGTCGATAGTGACAACTAAATGAACACGCATTCATTTTCATTCTCAAAGGTTAAATTTTACTGCTTCTTTTTCGAAGCCTTATCAGCAAATGTGGCGTAAAATACACAAATATGAAATACGTAGATAAGGCAAGCAACTGAGTAAAGCAGCATTTACGAATTTCAAAAGGCGTAGTGGTTATGCGACAATCCAAATGAACATTAATAAGTATGTATGTATGTGTGAGAGGAATAATGTTTGTTTTTATATAAAATTCTTTAGTTATCGCTAAAAAAGTAGGGAAACCACAAACAAACATAATTTGAGAGGCGAAAAGTTACAATACGTTTTTTTTTGAGTTGGTATTTAAAATAGAATGAATTCGTTGAAAAGCCTAGAAGAGCATTGCACTTTTTGTCCCACCAATCTAAAAAATATATTAAAAAAAAAAAATCGATCAATAGGTAAATGATTTTTATCAAGATTTTGCGTTTGCTGAGAGAACTGGCCCCCCGTTTGGAGTCGGTTAACTCGTGTAGCACAGGGGCAATGTTCAGATTATCGGGACCAAAATTTATATGTGATATTTTCGCCTTTAGTACTATCGATTCTCGGTATTAAATGAATGTTGTCTTTCTAACGATTGGGAATAAATAGAGAACAGAGTTAATAGCGTTTTCATTTCTCGAAATAATGTTGTATATGTTCTGCCCTGCGCCAGGCTGTAAAGTTAACGTGTTCATTTCTCAGCATCTTCACATGCATATTGCGTGCTCTTTCCTTAAAGTTTTGCACTCTGATAATGTTGCCATATAAGGTGAAATTTTTTTTGAGAAAAGAAAACGTCATAAGTCATGAATAAAATCATATCCCGAAATACACACAAATACCATTACCTCAATAAAATGATCAAAAAAATATTTTAAATGCGTTTTGATCTCAGGAAGTCCATACTAACTCTTCCCTATACATGAGATTTTCGATATTTTTTCAAGATTTTTCATGTAATTATGGAGATACACATGTACATATTTGTAAACCAGCATTCTAGTGGTTGGAAAAAATTAAAAAAATGCTGCAATTGTTCTGAAACAAACTGAAACAAATGGAACTTTTTAGGAACATTTTTTAAAATCTGCGGCAAAAAAATTCCGGCGAAATGTCATCTGTTCTCTCGCAAGAGAAAAATATCCAGAAAAGTAGGCGAACAGAAACTTTGCAAAACTTGCAAGTTAAACGAACAGTTGATAGAATTCTGATTTAACTTCATAGGTAAGTGTAAATTTTAAAACATAAGAAAACTGGCCACAAGGTTTTCCCTGACACAGTTTATTGACTAAAAGAATACTTACATACTTGCTTCTACACTTTCAATTAATCTTATTTTATAAATTTTATCTTCCAGGCCATTAAAGACTATTTTGGTGATTTGAGTAAATTCCAACGATCTGTTTTGATCAGTCGTTTGTTTAAGAACCACACTAATGTACATGAAATCCAAATGAAAATGGTAAAAATTAAGCAATTTATAGACAAGTCGTTCACACTTCCATTCAGCTAATCAAAATTTATTACAAAATGCTAAACGAAGTGCTACTAAAACAATCGAATAACATTGATAGTGCAACAAAAACAATTACTGAAGCCGCTAAAAATTCAGCATTTTTAATTAATTTCAATTTAAAAAATTAAAAAAAAAACAGTCAAAAATGGGTAGAAAAAGGGGGCAACTAAGCTCGTGGCACCACACAAAGCCTGCTAAAGATCGGACAAACGCATATACATACATACATACATACATACATATGTATGTATGCGAATCAGCAATAAAACCATTCTCAACACATTCATAAGCCAACGCAAATGAATTAATTCGTTGAACGATTTTGGAATCAATTTGAATTTCATTTGAAGTTGTCATCGACAACAACGTAACGGCAAAGCGAAAAAGGGCATCACGTACCCAACGGCAAACTTGCATAGAACATACACACAAATGTATATATAATTTTACATACACACACATGCATGCGCGCATCTATTGAGAATGTTAACCCAGCAGAAAAAAATATACATTGATAAAAAATTAATCACTTGCAGTTAGCTTTTTTGCATGATATCGATAAAATACATAACTTTTAATTACCTACAAAAAGTTAACTTGAAACTAGTTTAAAAGTAATGTAGACGTAATCGGCAGTTTGTTTTCTTTAGACATGTTTCTATTTAAATAACCTCATATTTACAAATATTACTTTAAATTCACTTTTTTTCTGCGCTTCCCTGATAGTTTTTCGAATTCAGTACAAATAAAATGAGGATCGAAATTTTATATTACGTGAATTATTTTGCAACCGAGCTACAAACGAACACTCGCTTAAATGACGAAATACATGCAAAGCAACAACACAAACTCGGCTAATTATCCGAGTTCAACCAGGTCGGTTTAAAAATACGCGACCTGAAGGGTAGTGTTGTTAAGCGGAAAAACAGCTCTATTGTGAATTGTTAATGGGAAAGTGGAGAGGGAAATTTGTGTTTCCTTATATACGTGACTTATAATTTAAATAAGTATATATATTAACCAAATACCTCGCATAATCAATCATTTAAATTGGTTTTTGTGTGTAAATCCCGTTAAACTAATCATATGTTTCTTGCCAACAGGGTTGCTTAAATAGCTAAAAGGAAATTTTACCCGAGTTGAGCGTTCTTTTTTCGCTCGCTTACAAAAAAATGCAGCTATTATTATGTTGAAGTTACTTATGTCTGATGTCATTCGAATATAAGCCACCTATAGCAGAGTATGTAAATAAATATGTAAACTTAAAGAAAATAAATAAATAAAAAATTAAAAAAAAAAATTATAATTTATGTCCAACAATAATTAGCTACAAATTAGTTGACACCTTATGCACCTTGACTATTTCGCGATCACCGCCATACAAACATAGATAGCTTTACCCCCAAAAAAAAATTATGCAGATAACAGTGACCTTTAGTTCCTTCCTAATCAACTCCAAATTAACTTATAGTTAAATACATTTCCTGCAGGGTTGTTTGTTTTCCAGCCGTAACAGATAGCTGAAAAAGTTGCCAACAACAAAGCAAAAGTTGTTGTTGCAATTGAAAGCAACAGTTCGCTTGAGTTTGGAATGTGGCGGTATACAAAACACGCTCGCCTTTCAATTAAATTCCATTGAAGACAATTAAAAGTATCTCGCAGATACCCGAGTTGCAGCCGCCGCAACAACACAATTTGAATGAAACGCCAGAACAGTAGTTACGCGTTTACATATGTATGTATATACATGAATGTATGCATGTATCTGCATGCTAGCCTAGCCCGTTATCTCGTCAAACTCGCAAATACACACACACACACACACACATGCAAACATACGAAAGGTACCACTATGAAATGATGGCTTTTCAATTACCGTTACTTGCATGACGCACTCGTCGAGCCAGCGATGACGAAGCCAGCAAAGTCGTCGAACGTCAACATCATCGCCAACGCCGTCGCCGCCGTCGTCGTGGACAATGGTGCATAGTATTTCTAGGAAGTTGAACTTTGCTGTCGTTTGCGTGTCAGGCGCCAAATGCGCGAATTTTGCCACGGTGTTATCCTTTCGTGCACGCTTTCCAGTGTTAATTTTTGTTGCTTCCGTTTTGTAACAAATTTCACAGAATAACAAAATATTAAACTGGATTTGTATGAAATTTATTTATCTTGGAATCTTTCACATGCATACGTAATACCGAGTATCAAACACCTCTCACAATTTTTGTTTATTTCAGCTTGCGATATTGTCCGCATAATTGTTTATTGTTTTTATAGTATAACTGATGATTCTCTTTGCTTTCACCTTGTACGAATTTAAACACGCGCGCACACTTTTCGAATATGTGCACCCTCCACCGCCCCTCTGGACGACAGCAACACACATTTTCAAAGGAAAACATTCACGAGTTCGCACAAGCAAAGTTTCTGTGTTTCACTGGCAGCCCCCATAATCGCACTTTTTCTTCCTTTCGCCACCGCTGCACGCGAACGACTGTCCATACAATTCGTTGTTAGCACTCGAAAACCAAACGTACAAAAAATCTTTTATTTTGTCATTCACAAAGGAAAGCCATGAGCAGGGTTGCCACTGACGAAAAAAAATGTTTACCATCCACTTGAAAAAAATCTACCAAATCTGAGAAATATCTACCAATAACTTTTTTATAATTATTTTATTAAAAACTATAGTTTTGTTGTTTTTTTAATTATTTTAATTAAAACTATAGTTTTTTTATATATTTTTTTAGTTATTTCAATAAGAATTAAAATTGTTTTTAAGAACTTTTTATTTAACTAGTTATACGGTATTTGAGTCATATTATTGGCATATTCTCAGTTTCTTTCAACCAAAATCGGAAGTGATGGAACTAAAGGCAACAATGAAACCTCATTATTTGAAAAACTTCAACTCGAGTTATTATAGACAAATACAGTGACTCAAAAAAGTGATTTTTTCTAATATTCGCAATATTTTTCGAGTAAAATTTTTTTACTGCTTTAACTGAATTCATAAAAATTGGGGATTCAAACAATATACAACATATAAAAAAATTCCAAAAAATTTCGTCTAAATTTCAAATTTTTTACTCGGAATTTGTAGAACAATTTAAGGTATGAAGTTTCAAAGCAAATACTATTTGATTATAGCCAACAATGTGGTGCTTAAAATTCCCGTTGATTTTTTTTTTATTTTTACCATTGATAAAAACTGGCTTTGATTTAATATTTATTTTTGCGATCAATCATAGTGCGTAATTACATACCTGTTAATTTTTTCTTTATATTTAAATAATCATTTAAAATATTTAGGCAATCAAAAGCTCTCCGGGATTCCAGTAAAATTAGTTTTGAATGGAGCGCGAATTGTTCGCTTTATATCGATATACATTTATAAGTATGTAATTATATAAAAAGTATGCAAAGAAATTTATAATATATTTAGAGATAACTACGAAAAATAAATCGGGAACGGAAAGTTCATCAAAAATCTACCAAAATGAGAAGAAATTTACCTTTTTACCAACCCAAATTTTTTCTACCAATTTTGGTAACAATTTACCAAAGTGGCAACCCTGGCCATGAGCCAAAAACAAATATGCAAAGAAAAATTGTGCTCGCCAGATACGCTGCTGTCGCACCATGGAGGAGCGCAACGTCGCTGTCATCATCGGCTGGGTGATTGTCGTTATCGCTGACTTTGCGAAGAGCGCTCGAAACGCACCGAGTAGGAATCATATAGCCAACATTGTATATTTAATGTGATTCCTTTATAAGATCTTAAAATACAGACACTGGATGAGTTCACTAAGGAGTACTCTTTAAGCGAAAAATTCCGTTCCATTCAGAAATCTTTATTTTACTATGTGATAATTGTATGCATTAATTTTGTAGCTGTGTAGCTCTTTCGCTTTCTATTGGACAATGGCGATCGGTTAGGCGACTGTCACACCATCAATACGGATCGCGATATTTAAATCGTGATCCATATTGATGGATTTCAAAATATTTAGAAATCTTGTGATATTGATCGCGATTCATCAATGCTACACGGCACGATCTAGGATCGCGATCCAAATATCGCGATTCGTATTGATGGTGTGACAGGCGACTTATACTACGTCTCTTTTTGTTTTGAAAAAAAACCGGATCAGCAAAATATCCCAAATTTGTATCCCTGAGCCCGAATAGTGTATGGGCGTACATACTCTTAATGTAAATAAGGAGTGACAGTAATTGCAAAAATGTGGCCACTTTTCTAGGTTTTTTAAGGTTTCCTAAGATATTTTCGTCCTCCTTCTAGGCGCTGTTTTCATATACATACATACGTGTTCGTCCTCGTATTAGCCTTCACGTTCTTCTTCGTATTCGTTTAGTGGCGTAGCTGCTTCGTATTGATCCTCGACTCGCACGTGTTTGCCTATAGCCTCCATATTCTTTTTCGTATTTATTTTTGTCGTCGTATTTAAACTCAACGCCGTATTCGTCTTCGTAGTCATCTTCCTATTCGTACTCTTAATATACGTCTTCGTATTTGTCTTCTTGTTCATTTTCGAATTTATCTTCGTCGTCGTAGTCGAATTCATTTCTTTTTCGCCTTAGGTTGGTGTACATGTTCGTCTTTGTATTCCTCAACGTATTTCTATTCTTTTTCGTATTCTTGTTCGCATAGGTGTTCGTGTTCGTATTCGTTTCTTTGTTCATATACACATTCTTATTTCTCTTCGTCTTCATCTCCTAATACGTCTTCACTTTCGTATTTGTTTCATATTGATTTTTGTACATATATTCTTCGCATTCGTCTTTCTACGCGCATTCTTATCCGTGATCCTATCTATCCTCGTATTCGTGTTCGTCTTAGCTGTTGCATAAGTCTTCTAATCTACCTTCGTTCGTATGTGTTTTCACATTCATATATATCTTTGTCTTCGCCTTAGTCATCGTCTTTGCTTCGGCGTTTTTAAGACCCACTTGTGTTTTATGTATCTGTGTTTGGGCTATTTGGTTTGGTAGCAACACCAGTTTCTGGAGAGCTCAAATAGGTACACATAGGAAATTTAATAACCTCTCCAGTTGTGTAAGTTTGGTTTTCTTTTCTTTGTTTCTCACTTGGAACAAATTCTCGACCTAAGTTCCGTGATTACAAACATAAGTTGGAAGATATTTTCTTAAAGGGAGATTTTGTTCTTACTGGGTCAGCGCCCTCCTCTGACCATTCGCTCGTCTTATTCGCATTTCCGATTCCCATTCAGCTCTGCGCTTCTTTTTTTCCGTTCGTAGAATAGAACATGGCCACACTTGTACATTTGTATGTACATACATACATACATACATATGTTGTATGACGTCTGTGTGATTCGTACAATTGGGCTTATCTCGTGTGTGGTGCGGTAGGTATCGCCATGTGGCACGGTGGTTGCTTTAGTGTGCGTGTGTTATGCGCATTTAAATTAAAAGAGCGCAACGGCAGCCACACAGCTCGTTCACGGTTGGCGTCGTCGTTATCGCTTGCGTCGTTGCGTCGCCGTTATTCGCTGCCAGCGTTTCGCAGTTATCCGTTATGGCATTATCGCTTGCATGATTCGCTTGTTGCTTCATGTCTGTCAGCGCCTTACTACTGCTTTTTGTTTTGGTTGTCTTTATTTTCTTTGCGGCTGCCCTTCACGAATGTATTCTTTTCTCTTTCTTTGGCCGCTGGGTTTTCATTTCATTTATGCATTTTATTATGGCTTTCCTTCCTGTGTTTCAATTTGATATTTAATTTTTTGCATTCGCACTAGTGTTGTTGCTGTTTGCATACATACATATTCAAAAGTATGTAAATATGTAAATACATACATACATTGTATACATACATATGTATATGTATGTGCATATCTAAACATTTTTGTACAAATTTAGTTATGTATTAGATATGTATAAACTATTATTATATACGATGCCTACACATTCATATGCATGTACATATCGTTACCTTAATATAGAAAGGCCCTATCTCAAATTTTTTGTTTCTTTACGGAGTGCTGAAAGAACCGCATACAAGTTCAAATCTTTTTGCTGCGAATTTCTTTTAAAGGCTATTTTAATTTAACTAATTTAACTTAAGGGTTTCTATTTAATCGCTAATCTTTGCACAATCTATAAAGCATAGGGAAAGTTGTGCCCAGGATCGTGTTGCACGCTGAGTTTGCAGTTCCACTGGAGGAGAACAATAAACCCCCTGCTGCACAGTGGTTCTAAACTGGCATTTAGTGTTCGTAATTCACTAGAGCCTTAATTTTTTCACTTAATTTGATAATTTTTTTTTTTTATTAAAGCTTTGCGAGAGACCAGTTGAGCCTAATTTGTGAATTTTTATTTGATTATATTAATTTTTTTAGCGCCAAATGCAGAAAAAGTGGCAATTTAGAAGAAAATGTATTCTCCTGTTCCAGTTAATAAATGTTTCATAACAAAGACTAGTTAAAAACAATTGTATTGTATAAAATTACAAGAAAATGTTTGAAATGTAATAAAATCAAATAAAGTAAAATAAAAAAAAAGTTCACAAAAATACATTTTTTTTTTGGTTTTTAGTAAAAAATTATTAAAAAATGAAGACTGCCGTGAATTATGAACATTAAATCCCAATTTCGAAGCACGGGGTGCTGAGTTCGGCATGCAGTATGAATTATGGTAAATGCCTTTTGGCAGCAAAGGATGGCGGAGTCCTTGAAAAGGATTTGGCTTAATTTTTCGGAATCGGTTAATTAACTGGTAAATATTTGATTTAAATTACGATATGGGTAAGGTACTTTTATCATACAAGTTGTATGTACGTATTCCCGAATAATTAAAAAAAAAATGTCCTTTATTTTACATTGGTTAATATGGTCACCGTAACTATACATGAAATGATAGAAAAAAATTTTGATTGCGCGATCTGCCAAAGTTGGGATTTTTTCGCGATTCTGACTAATCATGTACCTACTTTTTCAAATCGTTAAATCTCGGGTTCTGCTCATCGTGGAGACTTCATCTCAATGTCGTTTTAAAGCTAAAGGAATGGGTTCGTTCAACCCAGATTGTACTGTATGTAGAAAAAATTACACATACATACCTACAAACATACATACTTATGTGCATACATACATAGGTAGGCTCTGAGGAAGATAAAGTTGATACGCCCTTTCTATCGTAAATATACGTAGTGCGTACATATTAATGTACGTATGTATGCAAATAAATAATTCCCTTTTCCAAATTAAAAACTTTGATTGCGTTGTCTTTAAACACCTACTGTACGAACAGCGATCAAAGATCACACAACTTGAATATTGCATGAAGTTAGGGTTGCCAGACCTAAAATGCTGAAAGAGGTACAGATAAGAACAAATTCGAGGACTTTGTGTACAACTGAGAAAGATAAAGGGGTATTTTTCGGGGGACAAGTAAAACTAAATGTATTCAACAAAAAATTGATTTATTCGCTTATGCAACAATAAAACTGTTCATGAATAAAACTCCAATATCATTTGAACAAAACAAAATTATACTGGCGACCAAAACTGAGTGCGTGGTGATTTTATCTTAAATATTTACACTGTTTTTCGAGTTCATTTTTTTGTTAATTCTTGTGAAAATATTTTTCATATTTTCAAACTTTCAAACTTAATAAAAACCTTAGAAAAATGCACCAACCTTCCTCAAAATTTGGGACATTTAGGTTTTAGGCGGCTAAACATCGCGTAGATGTTTGGTGTTTTTTTTGCTGATGCTTTTGTTCCATAAAAACATTAATTTGAAGAAAATGCGCAAAACCGTTTGCAAAAAAATTTAAAAAATCAACGCCAGTTTTTATAAATTGCACTTCTTATATGAAAAAAACTACTGTTTAAAACTTGCACTCAAAATTCAAAATGTTGATGGAAATTTGTAGAATTTTTCTAAAGTTTGTATTAAGTTTGCAAGTTTGATTGATGTATGTATATGGCGAAAAGTGAACGATTTCGAGCGAAAATGGGGGACCTACGCAACATTCCGTAGCAAGAGGGACAAAACTTCAAAATGAGGTACGTCTGGCAACCGTACATGAAGATCTTGACGAACGGTTTCGCTATGTTCTTAAATTAAAACATTAAATTTAATATTATGCTCGTTCTCTGGCCTGAAAAACATCCAGAAAGGGTTTTAATAACTGTAGTCGCCCCTGGACGGGCTTGCAATAAATAAAATGAGGGGTAAAAAAGAATTAAGAAATGTTTTGTAGGTACATATGTGTGTATGTTGGCATGCACACAAAAAGTATGGAGAAATAGTCGTGTACTCCTTTCTCTTTCGGGTGAGAAGGTAATTTATTTTCCTTGCAACTTTATTTATTTCAGCTTTGTTCTCTAGGCTAAATTTGAAAATTATACTTACAGGTCTATTCTGCACGTTAGGGAAGATTTTGAACGCGGAAAATTTTATTACCAGATAAGGTTGCCAGTTCTTGTCCCCTCGATTCCAAGTACGTTGGTAATGCAGTTAAAATATTCAGCAATTTAGCTATGAAGAATTGTGGAAATTTTGGCATTGCATATTTCCCGGGACAATACTTTGTTACTAACTTATGATATGGTTACAAAATTTACTGGTTACACTATGCCACAGTAAATTGTTCACACAAAAAAATTTATATTTTCTCTCTGACGTCAGGATTTTTTCTGAAGGAATTTGAAAAAATATAATTTTGTCCAAAAAATTATTAAGAAAATTCAGAGCAATGTAGGAAAACCATAGATATGACATTCAAATTTAAGAAAAAATTCTGTAGAATTTAGGCCGATCAAATATTTTGACGCATAAGGGCCACTAGGTATTGAAAATGTCGCTTTCACATTTTATTATTGAATATCCTTGAAATTTTAAAATAATTATTTTCGAAAAGATTATATGTTAACTAATAATACACACTCGACCACATTCTCGAATTTCATCCTTCTAACTATACTCGCTAAAAAAAATAAAACTAATAAAAAGGACATTTTCAATACCTATTCGTCCTTGTTAACCAAAAATTTTAATGTTTTTAATTCTACAGAATGTATCTTTCTTTTGGTGCCCATGCCATCACATTTGGAATTAATCATATCTTTGAAATCACAAAGTTCTCTAAAAAATCCTGACGTCAGAGAGAAAGACTAAAAACGCAGTTTTACTATACAGGTAGACCTCGCTTAACACGGGGGTTACGTTCCCGTATAATACCGTGTTAAACGAAACCGTGTTAAGTGAAACAAGAAACCAGTACAAAAAGTAGGGTTCCGTTCCAGGATATCAAAAAATACATCAAAAGCCGTTTTTTTTTACTCTTTATTAATTTTAATTGTAGTTATAACTAAAAAAATAAACAAAAATTGATTTTCATTCAAAAGTTTACTTGTTTGTATAATTAAAAAAATTAACAAACTTAAAAAAATAAAGTAACTAAAGGAATTCAAAATTTATCAAAATACAATCATGCTATTCAAATCTGTTCTTCATCGCTGCTTATGGTCAATCGTGCGCGCTTTTGAGGTGCATACATTTGGGGCTGTTTTTTTAAAAAATCTGTTAGTTTTGACTGTTTGTTTGACAGTTTTTTATAAATTTGTTTGTATGGTAACATACAATTTTCAAGTTCTCTTTTAAACTTTAATCGCCTTTCAGCAGAAGGATCGGCTGTTAAAAAAAACGACTCCAAGTTTTTGGCTAGACTCATTCCCTTTTGAAGATCCTTAACCGTTAATTCATGAGTTTCGCTATCGTCTTCAGTGTCGCTGCTATCAGAATTTTGCTTATTAGGACTTTCCGATATGATTTGAATTAAATCGGAATCTTCTAATTCGGTTTCCTGCAGTAGATCTTGTAAATCTTCTGCCACCATATCATTAAATCCTTCACCGTCGATTAAGTGAATTAAGATTTCGGTAAGTCCGTTTTCTTCAGATGCGACCCCTGTTTCTTCTTCCACATCCACAGACGGCAATATTTTATTCCTATTTTATTCCTTATTGACTTTTTCAGCTCCTTTAATGATTTCGCTATTATTTGGATACAGTCTTTGATTGAATATGTCTTCCAAGCGCTTGTTAAATCCACAGATGACGACTCGCTCTCTCTCAAAACATTTCATATTATGACCTACGAGTTTTATATGAATTCATAATGTTTGTCGGTAAAAGAGGTCTGCTTCTACTCCAGCAAAATATGTTATACCATTTAGCAGTAGATGGCGTTCAAATTTCGACTTAGAACTAAAAAATATCAGTTAAAATATGAATGTTTTTTTTTTTAATAAATATATTTTAATGCACACACAACAAGTGCAAATATTTTTAGACTTAAAAAAAAAAAAAAAATTCCGGAACCGTGTTAGAACGAGGCCATTTAGCGTGTTAAACGAAAAATGATCACAAAACGTAAACCGTGTTAGAGCGTGGCCGTGTTATAAGAAGCACGTGTTAACCGAGGTCTACCTGTATTTAGTCCACAGTCTCGTGAATATATTAAATGCTTAATGTGTTTCGAAATATTTTTTTTGTTTTTATCGCACGGTGTTACAAGACTATTCAGAATGCGAAAAGGGTTTCAAAATTGACAGGAACTTAATTTACCGTTTACAAAATTTTTATTACCAGCACAGGATAGACCGGTTAATTAATTTTTGTTTAGTTATCTATTATTTGGTTTTTGTGTACCACAACATAAAAAGAGTGCAACATACAAATGTCAACAACATGTGCTGTCCAAATGCTTTAATTCCTGCTGTTGCTGCTGTCACACAGTACGATTTGTTTTTATTTTATATGCATACACATATGTATGTATGTACGTCTGTATGTACATACATATGTATGTAAATATGCACAATGGCTTTGTGCATAATGCTCACACATGTTCACTGACGCATAGGAGCGTAAGACAAAAAAAATTCGGCCCAAATCTTGCAAAATGTCCAAATGTCCTGCAGGGTATTTATTCCAAATAACTGTAAGATTTACTAAATTCTTACGATTTTTCTTATTTTTCATAAAGTTGCTTTCTAAATTGTTATTTTAGTGTTGGCCAAGGACAAATATTGTTAAGATCAACACATACATATTTGTGGAAGCAATATAAATATTCGTACATGTGTATGTATGTATGTACGTATATCATATTTAATAATTTATGGAGGTACATATTTAAAATGCGAATGTCAATTTCTTAAATGCTGTGAAAATAATTTAAATAAATTTGTTTGTTAAGTAAAACATTTTGCTAAAGGAGGGAAAAATTTAAGATATTTTAAAGAAAAACTTATCTTTGTTTCTTTATACCAAACATATTCTTATTCTAGAAATAGCAAGGCATATTTACCAAGGTAGACAAGATTTTGACATTCCTCTCTTTTAAACACCGACTAAATATAATAAGGATATTCACAGTTTAATTTTAAAGTTAAAAGGTGGCAACTTTAACAACACGTTCATAATATGAACGGCTATGGATATAATTGTTTGGGTCTACTTTGTTATGCTCTAAAATCGTTATTTTTTTTAATAATATTCCTCGCATCTAACAAAAAAAAATTCTGAATTCTGAAAATCTGAAAAAGTGGTGGAATGAACTGGACACATAAATGGCACGACCTGAAAAAATAGGCAAAATCGAGTTAAACCTGTGTTTAATCGTTGATATTTTTTACTGTAAATTTTATTTTTAATGACTGCGTCACATCTGTGAAAATATCTATACAACTATATCTGACAAAATATTTTTTATTTTCTATCTCATTTCAACATACATTGATTAAAAGAAAAATACCGATAAAAATAAATTATTTTAATTTTGGCTAGTTTTTTATAGTTCGTTCTTTAGCAAAATCTATATAAATACAAGCTTAAAGGCCATTTCACACGATTGGGCATTTGCCGAAATTTGGTGCAAACCGTATACCAATTGTGTGGATACCCAAATGTTTTCCTTTATCCCAATCACGAAAAGTAATTTGTTGAAATTTTTCAATAGAAGATTGCTGTATTGCAGTGTTGCCACTTTGTGAGTAATTCCTCAAAAAAAATTCTTGTAACTATTTTGAAATCAAGCGTCAGTGTAAAGTGGCGCAAAAAGGGGTAAGTTTCGAATTAGGTTCTACATAGCAATACTACTGATGACTGCAAAGTGATTTCTTGTGGAGCTTGGAATGAATTTGCAATCATATTATTTTTTTCCATCTTCAGTTTAAAAAAATATCCTTCTCCAATTCTATGAGAATCGTCTAAGCAACTAATAATAAAAGATTTAATTTTTGAAATTTAAAACTCTTCGTGGCCTCACTAACACACATAGAAAGAGAATGCTTTAATATGTTTGTATACTTAAAAGTGCGAAGCAAGTATGTACAAAGCTGGTTTTCAACCTTTAATATAACTAAAATGTCTTGTAAATTAATTTCTTAAAAAGTAAAAAGGGTGCACACTCTTTTCAACGAACTCACTGGTGGAATAAATCCCTGAAAGCCAAACAATAGCTCAACAAATGAGGCGAAACACTCGAGATGCGTATCAACCATGAAATTATGCGATAATTAATTTTTTATACGCACACACACTCGCTTGCACAGAGACCCAAAAATCATTGTAAAGCAGACCAAAGAAGGATGCGATGAAAAGCAAACTTTTGAGGAGAGAGAGAGAGCGTGGCAGGGCAAAGGACGGGAGAAAGAAAAGGATTGAGAGCATTAAAGTAAAAAAAAAGTAAAGCATAAAAAAGGGATGAGAACAGTGTAAGTGACACACTCAGCAAAGAGCTGCCATGACTTTCGACTCAGTTTTTTTTTTCTACAGATGTTTACAGTTTTTTATTGCATATTTTTGCCCATTCTTAATTTTTATTTTTTTTTTGCTTTTTTAATTTTTGATTGCACTGTTGTTCTGCGCCATTGAAATTCAGCGATTTTCAAAATGCATTAATATGCAATGCTGCGGGAGCGTAGCGTTTATTGCTGGCACAGCATTTTAGCAACGCGGCCTTTTCAGCGATGAAGTCCTTCAACGTCGTCGAGCTGTCAACGAATTTTTTTTTGCTTCCATTATACTTTTTTCTCAACTTTTTTTTCATTTTTAATATTTGTTTTATTGCATTTTAGCGAAGCGCAAAGTCAGCGAACCAAAGCTGTGTTCGACTAACAAGCGCGGTGCCATGGAGAGAGATCGAGACGGCCTGCGAATGTTCATTGGACTGGAAAGAAATAGGACGCAAGGACAAAAAGCGACGACAAACAAGAACTTGCATGCGGCGGGTATTATCTGGCGGGCGAGCGTTGTTCGTGTGTGTGTATGGGTGTTTACGTGCATCAGTGAAAATGAAGTAGTTTTCTAAGCGCCTAAAAATATACCGTACCACAGTGTGTGAGATTTATGAAGAATGTGTATGAAAGTTAGGAGATATTTTAAACTTTCTATGATGTATATTTTAAAGTGTGTGCGAGAAATTTTAAGTTGGTGTTGCGTGAGGCAAAAATCTAAGATTAGAAAACGAATGGTGTTGGATGTACCATCATTGCCACAGACATATGGCAACCCTGTTAGAAAATAGCTAATCAAAAGGAAATGTCAAATACGTTTTTTTTCTTATTCACGTTGGCTGTAAATTCTAGTTGAAAGAAAAACACAAGCATTTTTTAGCGCGGAAATAGCCCGCCCTTTTTTTTGTAGCAATATTCCTTTTGTACAAATAAAACCTAAGTTTTACATCGCCTATAATCGTCTTTTTTTGGATTAGCGTGCACTACAGCTACAAGCCTATTAATTGTTCACAATCAACACTGGAAAATAATTCGGACTAATAAA